GTGTGGTGAGGTGAGGTGTGGTGTGGTGTGGTGAGGTGTGGTGAGGTGTAGTGTGGTGTGGTGAGGTGTGGTGAGGTGTGGTGAGGTGTGGTGAGGTGTGGTGTGGTGTGGTGAGGTGTGGTGAGGTGTGGTGAGGTGTGGTGTGGTGTGGTGAGGTGTGGTGTGGTGTGTCGAGGTGTGGTGTGGTGAGGCGTGGTGTGGTACGGGTACGGTTTGATAGGGTTTTGAGACAGAGTCTCAGGTGTAGTTCATTCAGGTTGGGCCCAAACTTGCCTTAGCTGAAGATGACTCTGAACTGCTAATTCTCCTGCCTCAACCTTCCAAGTATTAGGATTACAGGTGTGTGTCCATACCCCTGGCTCAGCAATTTCTTATTAAGATAAACATTCCTTTCCGGACATGACATGACGCTGTCTTTAATCCTAGCACTCTGAAGCAGAGGCAGGAGGATCTCTGTGAGGCCAGTCTTGTCTACATAGTGAGTTCTAGGCCAGCCAGAGCTACACAGTGACCATATGTCTTAAATAAAAAAAAAAAAAAAAAAGAAGATAAACACTCATTTACCGTATGCCAACACACCCACTCCTACGTATTTACCCTAGAGAATGAGAACACATGCTCCCATTGAAGTCTGTACGTAAACATTTATAGTAAATCTATTCATAACCACCAGAAACTGAAAACACTCCAAACAGACCTCAATAGCAGAATGAATGAGGTACGTCTGTCTGTATGATGGAGTTCCATCAGAAATAAGATGGAATGGGCTGGTCTGAGATTCAGTTCAGTGGTAGGACATTTGCCTAGCAAGTACAAGGCCTTGGTTCAGTCCCCAGGACCAGAAAGAAAACAAACATACAAACAAATAAACAAACCAAGAATGAACTGTGGATGCACATGGCATTGGCAAATCTCAAAAGGCTATTAGCTGAATAAAGCTCCCGAGGTTCCTACTTACTATATGATTCTATTTAAGACATTGCTTTTTCACTGTTCTTGGGGTTTTTGTTGTCGTTGTTACTGTCGTTGTTACTGTTGTTGTTTTTAATTCCAGTAGAAAGAAATCTTTATGCAGCACACCGCAAGGGGTGGCGGCCTGCAGAGCAACAACCTTGTGCTGCCCCTCAGGCCTCAGCCTCCCACGATTAAAGCATGCACTACCACATCCAATTTGCGTGTATGTGATATGTTTGTCTGTATGCATGTTTGAATGCATGTGGGGGCACAAGCATACATGTATGGATGGAAATGTCTTAGTTCCTTATCTCTTGCTATGATAAGATGCTCTGATAAAAGGCAACTGAGCCGGGCAGTGGTGGCACACACTATTAGTCCCAGTATTCGGGAGGCAGAGCCAGGCAGATCTCTGTGAGTTCGAGGACAGCCTGGTCTAGAGAGCGAGATCCAGGACAGGCACCAAAACTACACAGAGAAACCTTGTCTCAAAAAAACAAAACAAAACAAAACAAGCAACTAAAGGACAACCCTTTCTCAGGGCCTACTCCGGTTACATATCTCTGTCTGCTTCCCTTTCCTTACGTTACAATAAAACTTCTAAGAGAAAAAAAAAACTTACAGCAACAAGGGACAAAGGGTTTATTCTGGCTACAGTTCAATGGTACAGTCCATCATGTCGGGCAAGTTAAGGAGGCAGGAGCTTCAAGCAGCTGGTCCCAGTGCATCCACAGTCAAGAACAAAGTCATCAGTGCCCTGATCACATCCCCATTGTCTACAGCCCAGGTTCCCCTGCCCAGGCAATGGTCCCACCTGCAGTCAAGATGGTCCTCTCATATCCATCAACCTGATCAGGAGAATCCCTCGTGGCCTCCTTGCATCATCGAGAGACACTCTCCCAGAAGATTCTAGATCCTGTCAGGATGACAATTAACCATCCAAGAAGGCCCTGAGGTAGAGGCTCTTATTTGATCTGGGACTTGTCTATTCAGCTAGTCGATTAGACCCTCCACCACCCAAGCACTGGGATCCTGGGGGGGGGGGGGGGGCTGCCGGGCTCACCCAGTATCAACGTGGGTGCTGGAGACCCAGCCCTCATGCTTGTACAGCATGCCCTGGATCCACTGAGCGACATGCCCAGACCCACACTCAACTTCTACATGATCATCTTCAGAAGACAAAACGATGTAACGGAGAAAGAGCTAGGTGGGTACTTGGAGGAAGACTACACGGTGGTGTGTGAAGGAGTTTTTAGGTTCGTCTCACAGGTACTAAAACCCATAGAACCATATACAAAAAAAAAAATCTCCATTTTACTTTTTAACTTGGTGGTAATTAAAAAAAAATTCAAAGCAAGTTCCAGGATAGCCAGGGCTACACAGAGAAACCCTATCCTCAAAAAACAGAAGCAAAGCAAAACAAACAAACAAAAACCCCCCATTCCTTTTTGCTGTTGGGTGTGTGTGTGTGGGGTGCACTTCAGCGCGGGTGTGCATGTCTGTGCCCGTGTGGAGGTCAGAGGTCACCATCAGGTGTCTTGCTCTCCCATTTCCACCTGTCCTCGCTCTCTCACTGTTTCAGCTAGAATGGCTGACCTCCTCCCACCCCGTCCCCCCTCAGCTCCAGGACTCTGCCTGTCTCCGCCACTGTCGCTGGCTGGCTGTGACATGGCTGCCCCTGCCTCATAGCAGCCAGCACTGTAACCAGAGCCTCCACTCAGGTGAGGACTTGCTATGTAGCTCAGGCTGGACCCCCACCCCTGGTGCTTAGCTAGGTGGGCCACTGCGCCTAACCTGCCTTTGTTTTCAGTCTCTTCATTTGATTTCAGCTAATGGCTAGAAATACAAGCGCTTTAAGGGGCTAGAGAGGTGGCTCAGTGGTTAAGAGATCATGCTGCTCCTCCTGACTCATTGAATTCAGCTCCCAGCACCCAAGTCAGGCGGCTCACCACCACCTTAGGTCCAGCTCTACCTCTGCAGGCACGGGCATGCATGTGGCACACACTCTCACACACAAACATACATACCCATAAATAAAAATACAAAAACAGTCTTTAAAAGTGCTTTAAGAGCCTAGAGCTTAAAGTTTAACTGATGACTTGAACATATATATACGTGTATCCCTGCTGCTTTTCAGGGCTGCTAAAAGACAGACATCAAAAAGAGCTCCAAGATAAACCAGGTATGGGCTACACACCTGTTATCCCAGCACCCAGGAGGAGGTCTGTTTTGAGTTCCAGGGCAAACAGGAGCAGACTGGATTTAACAAGTGAACAGAGCACGGGCAGGTGACAAAGGCTTGGCACAGGGGACAATGCCCTGCTCGGATTACGCTGGCACTCCCGCCAACCCCTTCTCCCCATTTCACTCCAAGTAAAGCCACAATTCCTTCTAATGCTCTCTGAGACCCAAGTCAGATTGCCCCTCCTCTGTCCCCAGAACGGGAGCACCCACAGGTGTCTCCTCTCTTCATTTTTCCCTCAGCATCTATGAGTGCCTGTGACTTCACAGGCACTGCAGAGACCAAGGGTGTGTGTGCCAGTCACCCAAACTCTCAGAGAACAGCCCATGGCAGAATGCGGAGATTCTAAGGCTGCCCTGGAAGACCAAGGATGCTGGAGTGAAGTCTGTGGAGGGCTCCCTGAAGCCACTCAGCCCCCCCCACTGCGTCTCATCACCAGGCAACCGGCACTAGGTCTACTCTCTGGAGAAGACATTAGCCAGAGTTCAGGGTTCCCAGGAAAGCACGGTACTGAAAAACGAGCAGACAACCCACCCGAGTACCAGTTGAAGGAACTTTCCAACACGGAAGAAGTGGTCACAATAAAGAAAACTGGGGAGCCGGGGGGAGGTGACTTAAGTAACAAGGTCATGTGGGGGGAAAATCTGCTATTCTCTATTGTGTTTTTCAGAAGCAGGTTCAACAAAACCTACTCCCCTCCCACCGAGTAACTCTGCAAGGCTTTTCTGACTATGTTAGAATGTTTCAACTGCAACAAACAATTCTTCCCTCAAAACAACTTCACGTAGGTAACCTTGCTTCAAGCCTTCAAACCTTTAGACGTAATGGTGGGACTTGAAGAGTCCATCCCTACACTGCACCAATCTCGACAGCTCATGCCGTATCTGTTTTCCCTTGCTATAACAAAATACCAGAGGGTTTTATAGTTCAGTTTTAGAGGCTGACAGTTCAAGATCACACAGCCCTCTTAGGTCAGCAAGGGCTCCCTTGGCTGCATCTTACCATGGTGGAGGGAGACAGCATTCTACCAGGAGCACATACAAAAAAGAAGAAATAGCCAGGCATGGTGGCATTCCCCTATGATCCCGGCACTTGAGAGTCTTGAACAGGAGTTTGAAGTCACCAAAAGTGGGGGAGCAGGGAGGAAGAAGAGGAGGAGGAGGAAGGGGGAGGGGGAAGGGGGAGGAGATGGAGGGGGAAAGCAGAAGAGGGAAAAACAGGAGGGGGAAGGAGGAAGGGGAAGGAAGAGGAGGGGAAAAGAGGAGAAAAAAGAAGGGAAAGGAGGAGGGATGAAGAGGAGAAAGGAGGAGGGAGGAAGAGGAGGGAGGAGGAGAGAAAGGAGGAGGAGGAAGAGACTGGAAGCAAGAATAGGAAAGCAGTGTTGGCTGTATTCTTGCTGTTTCAGGGAAGTACCTTAATCCCCTCTAAGGACAGCTCCCTTGGGAGCTCATGATTTCTCCCTAGGACCCACCTCTTACAGATTCTACAACTCCCAAAGCACCACACTGGCTGCCAAGATTCCACACTTAATCCTTAGGAACAAACTCAAACCACTGGATCCCTAAACGTGTAACATGAGAAACGTGCCCCCTATGAGGAAGTCTAAGCCCAAACAGGAGAAAACAGTGAAAGTTAAGAAGAAAACATCTGCTGATTAAAAGGGAGAGTCTTTTTTTCCAGTTCTGGAGGGCTCCATGCCTCCATGCTGGGACTTTCTATCTTGCTCTTCCACCCATCCCATTTTATGGGTTTTCACAGAAGCATCAGTCCCATTGGGAGGAGCATGATAAATTTCCTCCAATTTCTAAAACGAAGTATCAAACATACATGTGAGGGCTGCAAATATAGACTATTGTTCTAGGATTTAACACCAATATTATGGGTCTGTTAAAAAGACTTTTTTTTTTTTTCCTTCTTTTTTTTTTCTGAGACAGGGGTTCTCTGTATAGCTTTGGGGCCTGTCCTGGAACTCACTCTGTAGACCAGGAGGGCCTCAAACTCACAGAGATCTGCCTGGCTCTGTCTCTCCAGTGCTGGGATTAAAGGTGTGCGCATCCACTGCCCTGCCCCCCCCCCTTTTTTTTTTTAAAGTATTCTCTGTGTGTGGACAAAAGTTCATGCCATTCTACCATGTGGATCCCATCTCAAGTCATCAGATTTGTCAGCAAGCGACCTCACCCACTGATCCATCTTGATGGCCCCAAGAAAGGCTTTAAAACACACACACACACACACACACACACACACACACACACACACACACACAAACAACTACTAGGGTTGAGGATGTGACATGCAGGGTCTTGTGGGGGTGGGGTAGGGTTCTCCAGCATCACCATTAAAAAGAAAAGAAAATATTACTGAGTCTCCTGAGGCACCTCACACAAACTGAATGCAACGGTTCATGTTTGGATTTCCATTTTAACTTAAAGATCATGGGAGCCTGTCCTGATCATGTATCCAGAGGATGATCTCTTCTTGATTTATTTCTTTTTCACAGGACTCATTTGGCTATATGAATCAAATCCTCCTATACTAAGATTTTATGGAATTTTATGGATTTAATGGAATAATCCTTCCATTGCATTAGAAGGGTGTGACTTCCATTAAAAAGACAGACACAGGGCTGGAGAGATAGCTCAGCAGTTGAGAGCACTGGCTGCTCTTCCAGAGGACCCGGGTGCTGTGGAATAATGCTTTTGTACACTGGTACAGTGTACAAAAAGCCTGTAGCCAGGCAGGAAGTATAGGCGGGATAAGCAGACGAGGAGAATTCTGGGAAGAGGAAGGCTGAGTCAGGAGACACAGGCCCGCCATCCAGAGAGCAGCATGTAATGGCACACAGGTAAAGCCACAGAACACGTGGTGATATATAGATTAACAGAAATGGGCTGAGTTTAAGTGTAAGAGCTAGTCAGTAGTTAGCCAGAGCTAATGGCCAAGCAGTTTTAATTAATAGAAGCCTCTGTGTGTTTATTTGGATCTGGGCAGCACACAGGAAAACTTCAGCTACACCAGGGTTCAATTCCCAGTACCCACGTGGCAGTTCATAACTGTCTGTAACTCCAGTTCCAGAGGATCTGGCACCCTCACACAGATATAAATGAAGGCAAAACACCAATGCATGTAAAATAAATAAATATTAAAAAAGAAGACAGAAACAAATTATATGGCTAAGTCACATAACCCATGACGTAAACTGAATTCCTAGCACTTTAATTAACTGCATATCATTTATTCTATTTTTACTTCATCTTATTTTCAAACAGGGTCTCACTGTGTAGCCCTGGTTGGCCTGGAACTCACTCTGTAGACAAGGCTGGCTTTGAACTCAAAGATCTGCCTGCCTCTGCATTAAACTCACCGAGATCCACCTGCTTCTTTCTGCCTCCTGAATGCTGGGATTAAGGGCTTGTGCCACAGTTTAAAGGCAGAGGTCAGAGGACAACTTGCAGGATACAGTTCTCTCCTCTCTTAATGTCCCTCCCAGGGGTCTAATTAATGGTGTCAAGCTTAGGAGCAATGTGCAATCATCTTTACCTGCTGAGCTATCTCCTTTTTGATCCAAATACTCATTCATTAAATTAAAAAAAAATTTTTTAAATGCACTGCTTAAGCAAAAGTACTTTGTGACTAGAATTATAAGAAAAACTACAAAGTATCATTGTGTTTGCCATAAAGACTTGCAATAAGACAAGAGCTCAGTGTCTGCCTTTTGTCTGTCCTCTCAGGTTGGAACAGGGATGGACTAAGTGGGGGGACCATGCTCTTACACAGCTGGCTAGAGAGGAAGCTGCTGCAGGCCGTCTCAACTCACCTCCTAGTACAGAACCATGAATGGTTTTCAGTCTAGTTCCTCGAAGTATGCGCTCAGGGCAATCACTGCTTACTTTCACTCTAGCCAATGGTTTTCTGGGTTATTGCTGAGATGAAAAACACCCACAAAGTGAGAAGTAGGGTAGCACACTGAAAAAGAGTCCAGTGCTGTAGGGAAGGGGGTTAGATGTCTCTCATCTTCACTACCTTCAGTACTAAGGTAGGGCCTTGGCAAGCACTCTACCACTGAGCTAAATCCCCAACCCTTCACTAAAATTTTAAACATTAAAAAAATGCTGGTATTGGCCGGGCAGTGGTGGTGCACGCCTTTAATCCCAGCACCAGGAGGCAGAGGCAGGTGAACCTTTGAGTTTAAGGCCAGTTTGGTCTACAAATCGAGTTCCAGGACAGTCTGAGAGCTGTTACACAGAGAAACCCTGTCTAAAAAAAAAAAAAAAAAGAAGAAGAGGAGGAGGAGGATAAAAGAATGCTGTATTGAAAGGAGTAAATAGCCGGGCGGTGGTGGCGCA